TAAAAGCAGGTCAGAGCTCGTAACTTTGGAGCACGAGGGCTCAGCGACAAGGGTGCCTTGCTCTTGCAAACCGGGTTGAGTCAACACAAAAAGGTTTGTTCGCCTTATGCCGTTCCTTTCTAGGATCAGAGTGACAAAACTGTGGTGGTCTTATTCCTGTCACGATCCGTTCTCACTTCCATCTTGCAGGAAGGTGTATTGTAGTAATACATGTGTGCCAGAGCCCGCCACAGACTACATCAGCTGTCTTTCTACACTGTCTTCTATTTTTTCCCTGTTGGCTGATCTCTTTAACCGTATACCTTTTGCTGCCAACGGTTTGATGTATTGTGATGACATCTCCCACTCTGAAGTCTCCTGACAACTTGGTTCGGTCTGCTTGTAATTATGTGATCCAGAAGTCAGCGTAGTTCCCTCTGTTTTTCTGCCATCCCTCCTCTTCATGCTTCCAGCTGGTGTTGTTCCAAAGTCCTGGATTTTCTTGCTGTCTGTGGAGAAATGGAGGGAGAGGAATTGTGGTGTGAGGATGTGGAAACATTTGTTTTTGAGGGGATGACTGGATATTTTACAATGTGGTACTGTATTAAAATGAATGTTATGAATAGGTCTTTAAGATAGTAAAGAACAGAAATCAAACCTGCAATATTTATTGAGCCACCTCTTCACACCTTAATGAGCTGGACGAGATTTTGCTACAGGATGCCAATATCGATCTGTGCTTTGTCTTGGACGTGGCTGAAGTGGAAGAGGGCCCAGGATGACGCCGAGGGCTGTGTCACAGATTCTTGACAGCCAGGAACCTGACCAAAACTCTGACGAAGAGAGAGGAATGCTTTTCTCCCACAGCCTCCATTTGTGTTGTCAGCCTGTCTTCCATTCCTAGAAATCCGCAGGCACTATGGAGGTGATAGGTAAGCATTTTTTTCACCTTTTTTACTTTTCTGTACAGCAGTGTACACCTGCTATCTTTTCGCTAGACCTTTCATTCATCCCCATCTCAGATGAAAGCCAAGACTATGAGCTCTGCCCCAGCTCTCCAAGTTAGTCTCCTGCTATGCGCTCAAAACAGCAGTCCCATACGGTGAGAATGCAGTAGCTAACCTGCCCCCCCCCATCCCCCCACCTTTTTTGTCTTCCAAATTGAATTCCTGCCCTGCAATTCCTGCTTAAAATGGTGATTTCCACTGCAGTCAATTTGTTTGCCAGTTGCTGCCTCAGTCCTGGTGTGACCCACCCCCTCACTGTGTTGCATACTTTTCTCCCAGTGTGTTCGTTGAAAGGTGTGCTCTTTTTAGAGAGGAACACTTTGGGATTCAGTTATCAAGTGCACTTTGTCATCTGGTCAAGCAAACAGTTCCATTTGTCAGCACTCATTCATTATCGTGTCGATCCGAATGGGTGTTTGTTTTCCCTTCAGTAGTAATCATCTTTCAGATTAAAATCACATCACACAAAGCTATTGGTGAAGCTGATACCTTTATTGACCACAGAACATCGATAGCACTTGAGTATGTATGGCCACAGGAAACAGAGAGCAAAATGTGACATTACGGAAGGTGCCTTTCCCCTGACTTCCCCGCAGCTGGTGGTGGCCTTCCAGCCATGCAAAATGGCAGGCTGTGTTATTCCAGTAAAGAGCAGCACTATGTACCACATGGTATTTGGTTTGCCCTTAATCTTTATAGTTTGTCAGTCTCATGGATGTGGGATGCTTCTTTTGTAAGAACTGCCTGTAATGGTGCTGATGCAACCGGAACTCAATCTCACCGATGTCTTGAAATTGCTGTTAATTAATACTATGGCCTCTTGCTTGCTGTTGGGCAGTGCAGAATGGCAGAGTCCAACTTGTCCCCTGGAGTAAGCTCAGACAACTGTAGCTATTACCCACCTCTGGTGTATGTTAATCCTAAAACTGATCAGAGGAAAGGTGGGGAAAGCCACCTCTCCCCAGAGACTGGGAAGGGACTTTAGAGATGGCATCTCAAACTTGTAAGTTACATCTCTTCTGCTGCCATGAGAATGAAACAATAACCGGTTGTTACTTTTTTTTGGCCCTATAGGAAATGTGTGGTTGCTAGACCCACATGGCTTCCACTGTTAACTGCCCAACGCCTGGTAAAATGGAAACAACAGAAGTGGAAAATTTTTGACTTTGCGAAGACCTCTGGAAAACACGAACACGTAGTGCAAGCATGGAGGGGATTGCTCAGAGGTGAAAAGCAGAAAAAGCAGAGAGGCCAAGGTGGAGGCTCTCTCTCCAACCAAGGAGATGGCAAAGAACAGGCTCCCTCTGTCCAGGAAGCTAGCTAAAGAGATCTTCAAAACAGCAAGTAAAGTCTTGCAGTGACCTAGGGAACTGCAGACCTGGCTGGGGGCTGCGGGCTGCAGAAGTCGCTGTTAGAAATACTGAACAGCATTGGAAGGTGTGATCCGTGAAAGCTGCTATTTGTTCTACGTGTCCTTCTCTTGACATGCCGCTATATCATATCAGCTGTAAGCTTCGTTGGCCCCAGGGTAGGCTTTGGAGGCAGTCTATCACTGGAACAACCTTCAGCAGCACCTTTGCATGGCAGTGAAAGCAGCAGGGCTGGGGAACAGTGTTTTCAGCTGATGTGTGTGAGTACCATGCTGTTTGAGCCCCCAGCCCCCCTGCCTGGTACCATGAAGAAAGGCTACAGCGAGCTGCTCAGCTGAAATGTCCCCTGGTGCTTTAGACAACGCCCTGGCCACTCGCACTGCTGAAGCATTTGAACTCGTAAAAAAAAATGAAGCTGGTGATGAGACTTGAAGAAACAGAAGCTAGTGTGCCTCTGCGCTGGTGGCCCCTGTTGTGTTATTGATCTGTATGTGTATGACAGCCTGTTTAATAGATCTTCCCGAGTCCCTGACCTGTGCTGGTGCACCAGCCTGAACAGTGAGCCTGTCTACTGTGCTCCCAGGAATTCTGGAAAGAGCTTGCTGGGCAAAACAAGCCCCACACGTCAACACACAGCCTTCCATTCCTATCCCAATCAAGCCTCTGAACAGTTGCTGGTTTCCCTCTCGATGCATTTACATCCAGTGGTCTCCTTTAAGAAGAAAACAAAACCGAAAGAACAACTAATAAAGGCAAAACTCAGTCCTTTGTAGCACGAAATAGAAAGACTATGTAGCCTTCCAGATCAGGGTGCTTTGCTACCCTTTGCAGACAATGCCAAGTAGTTAAAAGGCTTAGGTAGGGCATGTGTCTGAAAGAGGCATGTGAAGGTGCTTGTCTCTCTCTCTTGTAGCTCTCTGGCCCTTGCAGACACGTACATGCTCTGTGTGACCCTTAACGTTTGAGGAAAGCGTTGCTTTGGCTGCCTTAAACCTTCTAACCAGCGCTTGCTGTCTGTGCTTGAGTTTTCCAGATGCGTGCGTTGCTATAGTTTTGAAAGCTGCTTAAGCATTATTTGTGAGGTTTTGGGTTCCCTTACACTCTAGATTTCTAATAAAGGTCTCCATCAGCTACTATGTAGTAGTACTAGTAGGTGGTGAAGGTAGTTCCTCCTTGAATACACATTGTGTGGGCTGTGCTAGCGAGTCAGGCTGTGTTAGTAGAGAATGTTGGGCAGGCTGGAAGATGTAATCACTGTGGACTGCTGTAAACCATATGTTTCAGGCAAATCTAGCACAAATTTGAGACTGGCCTGAGTGCGTAGTGAAGGGAAGTACATCTTTCTGGGCGTGGTTTTGGAACGTGTATGTAAGGACAGCTAGTGGAAGTATGGGTTTCATTGTAGTGTGGCACAGGCATGCCTACCCATAGGGCTGTTGGTAGGTGATAGCCTTTACAACTCTTACTAAAAGTGCCTTTTTAACAGAAATGCGTATCTCATTTGCATCAGCTAGTGAGCCACTGTACCAGGATGCTCGGCCACCAACAGATCTGTAGCCATGGAGGTAGCCAGAGAGCAGGCAGCCAATCCATCCTGAGTGGGTGATGAAGGTCTCCTTGGTCTGCCGCTGCCACGCCACCATTGTGGCCACTCTGCGAGCGTCCTCAGCTGTACTGTGTGAGCGACGCAGGTTTTTGCCAGAAATGGTGCTACACCATTCTGTTCTAACAAAAATCTTTCCTGAAGCACTGTCGTCTTGTCTTCATTTTCTGATTTGTTTGTGTCCGCTTTTTCCTTCTCTTGACGCCTCTTGCAGGGAAGGACAAAGGAAGCTGTGGTTGTTGCAATGACTGCAGTCAAAGCTTGTTGGTAACGCAGCTGCTGGCTTGCAAAACTGCAGCTCTCCCCTGGTGAAACATCCAAATATGCTTGTACAAACTGCTTTGTGTGTCTGCCTCTCAGCACCGTAGCGTGAAGTACCCAAAGTTTTGTTAGGAGTTTGAAAATAATGCTTATTTGTGTTCTCTCCTTCCCCTCTGTGCCCTCAGAAAACAAAGGGGGAGATCAAATATGTGAAGGACTTATGAGATACTCTAGGTTCTGGTGTCTAGGTGGGCTCTGCAGTGAGGTCTGGCTGGCTTCCTCTGGCTGTCCCATCCTGTTTTGGGGGGGGAGCAGCAGCACTGTGCAGCAGAGACTGTGGAGTACACAGCTGAGGAGTTTCTTTGGAGAAAATATCTTGTCCCCTTTTCTATTTTCCTTGGAATACATGGAAACATGTATTACACAGAAGTAGAAGTGGGATGTTCACTTAAATGTGGCTTTTAAACGCTGGTTACTTCAAAATGAGATGCTTGGTATTCTTCCTTGCTCTGAAGTCTATCTTCCAACGTGAACTCGGAGGTCAGACAAATAACCTTATACAGTGTCACAAGGAAATAGCTGTCAGCAAAGCTGGTTTTTTAAAATTTAAAAAAAAAAAAACAACAAACCAACCCAAAACCAAACCACCAGAAAGTGGTCCTTGGAAAAGAGCCCTTCTCTTTCAATAAAGCACATGGATTGATTGTCCTTATAACTGAAGCTAGTTTTGAAATTGTTTGCTTGACATCTGCAAATGGATATTTAATCTTTCTTCCAGCTGGTGATGGTGAGTCCAACTTCAGAGCAGTATGACAGTTTGCTCCGGCAGATGTCAGAGAGAATTGATGAGGGTTGTGGGGAGACCATCTATGTCATTGGTCAAGGATCAGGTGAGTATAGCTTCCTCAGGGAAACAACAAAAAACATTAAAATTGTAAGGAAAACCTAGTTCACCTTAAGTGAACTGCTGCTGAAGGTAGTACTTACTTCTCCGGGATACCTTGGAAACCTCCATAAAGTATAGCAGAACATGTGGGACGGATTCTTTTATTCTATTCCTGCCAGCAACTGTCTTATGTAGTGAAGCTAAACATACTTTTTGTATAAAATCATACAAGTTCCATTTTGGAAATAAGGCGTAAGTTGTCTGGGCACACCAAGGAAAGACAAAGGATCTGAAATTATAGTAACAGTTTTAGTACAGACATCCTCAATGTCTGATGGAGGTCTTGTTCCGTCTGGTTTTGTTCACTTCTCCATCGTAAATAACAATATTTTTACCCCACAGGAATAAATGCTGCTGACTTTGTCAGTGGGCATCTGTACTATGGAGGGAAAGGTTTTCCGTTTCTCATCGTGAGGCCTTTATTGTCACATTAACTTGGGCCTGACTGCAGTTATTTGCCTTTGCAGATTTTAGCATTTAGCATGGTTTACCTTTCTGTTCTTTTTCACAATTTGAATATTTGCATCTGATTCTGGTAAAATAATATTGAACATAGCCTTGCTTTGAAATTGAAATTTGTGAATGCAAAAATATTATCTGTGGCTATCATAAGGCTAAAGGCATGTTTCAAATATGTTTGTTATCTGCTGGATATCAAGTTGTTATGATCAGACGTTCTCCTAGTTACTACGTCTGAGGAAGAGTACAAAATCCTGATTGTCAGTGCCAGGATTGGCTGAGATAGTGGAGGGAGAGAGTTGTCCTACCTTAGAAGTGTGTGCTTTTTGAGCTTGTGCTTTTTGGGTTTTCTTGGTGTCTTGCGAAGCCACCAACATAGGAGAAAAGCCAGGATTAGATGGCCAGTGATCACGCAGCCAGTATCACAGGGATAATGCTCTTTCTTCCAAAAGAGCTTCCCAGGTATAGTCTGAATCCTCAGTGTTTGGGATAACCTCATCTGCAGCAGAGATCTAGCTAGTCAGGCTAGTAACTGCTTTTTCTTCTAGGATACCTCGTAAAGGTGTTAACTGGTGGTTGTTACAATGACATCCTTAGAAGTAGACATTTGATTCTTAAAATATGAACTAAAACTTCTGACTTCATTTTGGGTTGGTACATAGTCAAGGAAGATGGGGATCTTTTCTGTAAATTGAGAGCAATAGCCAACAGAAAAAAAAAAAAATCTTGATATCACTGCCACTGTTGCTCCTTCTCATTCGCTTGGAGTGTCTGTGATTTTGATCATCGTGGATACCCAACTCTGATGACTGAGAAGTGAGTGTAGATTGCCAGGAAGCTCCCTGCTTCACCAGTAGTGACCCTTCCCTTTCTCCTTTGGCTTTTATCCTCTCCTGTCCCCTCATTCCCCTTCTGTGACCCAAGACCCCAGTCACGGTGCTTCTTGTTTTCCCCACTGTCTCAACAGCTTCCCAGGCAGCTTATGAGCTAGGCTGGAAATCCTGCAGCAACTCTACTTGTCCTAGAGCTGGGCGGTAGTTAAAGTGCATCAGCAAACTGCAGTTACTGCTCACCAGCTGATGAGTCAGCCATGAATGTGAATGCACACACAGCAATAGCTTTGGTCATCCAGGTGCTTTGTGGCTCCCCACCTTTGTTTGTTGTGTTTGGTTTTTTTTACCCACAGAGGAGATTCTGGCCTAAAATCTCTGCAGCTTCTCAGCACCTGGGTTAGGAGAGAAGTTGAGAGCTGTGGTGGCCTTTAAACTGTCTAGGTAGTTGCCACTGTCTTGCTCTGACTGTCAGCTCTTTGCTTGGGTGGGCTGTTCGGAGGCAGCAGTGCCTCCTTGTTTTTTTCTGGCCCCATGTGCAGTCAGCATTTATTTCAAGTGCCAGGACGAAGGCAGCAAGACATGCCAAAAACATTGTTTTAACTGGAGTACGTGGGGGCTAAAGAAATTGCTGTGCAGGCCAGACTTGCAGAAAATGTGCACTTGGGATGTGGTTTTATAAAATAAGCTGGTTGTTTAAATTAGTCCCACATTCACTAGTTAATTGTGGTGATATTTCAGTCAGAGCTTTCCTTTTGTGAATGCTTTTCCCTTTATTGCAATGTGAGAGGAGATGTTTTATCTGACGGAAGGAAATTGCACGCAAAGTACCTTCAGCATGCGAAGGAAGGGAATTAGACAGAAATGTGTCTTTTTTGCCAATCCCTAAGTATTTGCTTGTAGAAATTGTGAAGAAAACTCTTCTAGATGAAAGATGGTGCTTTTCTAGTACCTGTTAAGGCCTAGAGCGAAGACCGTCCTTTATTGTTTAGGGCAAAGGGTGCTTACTCTGTTTACATGTCTGACATCTCCAGTCAACGTATAAATCCCGATCGGTGTGAAAGTCCCGGGCAGAATGACATTGCTGCTGGCTGTTGCAAGGTGGTGCTCACTGACTGCCCTTTGTCTCCTCAACATCATTCTAGACGGGACTGAATACGGTCTGAGCGAGGCAGACATGGAAGCATCCTATGCCACATTGAAGAGCATGGCAGAGCAGATTGAAGCAGACGTGATCCTCCTGCGGGAGCACCAGGAGGCAGGGGGCAAGGTGCGCGACTACCTTGTTCGGAAACGTGTGGGTGACAACGACTTCCTGGAGGTCAGGTGAGGAGCCGGGTGGAGACAGGGTTAGTCAGCAGCCCAGCTGCATTTTTACCGTGTGAGCCGTCCGTGATGCTGAGCCAGCAACGCTGATTCAAGTCTGGGTGTTGTAGCTGCCCCACAAAGCTTGACCACTCCTTGCTAATGACATCGCCCTTTCTGTTGTTGTTGCTCCTCTCTTTTGTGAACAAACTGTTTGTGGAGATTTGCCTGTGTTGAGCTGAGGGCTGTTGCTGTCTGGGTGACAGCTTCGCAGTTTGGGGATCTTTTGTGGGCTGGAATCCCAGCAGGGAGTCACATGTGCACGTGTGTCTGTGTGTGTGTGCGTATACGCACGCTGCTGGAATACAGTACTTTTGACTAAGGGTTCGATTCTGTTCCAAGACTGTGATGATCCAAGTCACCTGTTTAATGGACATATAATAGCTTGTGTAACATGACTTGAGAGTCTGCCCAGACCTGGATGGAATGGATTTTCAACTTGCCAACAGCCACAATAACCACCTTGATCAGAGGCAAGGAAGGAGATTGCTGTAGGAGAGGGTTTTTCCCTAAAATGTTCCATTGTTGCTTGAGCTTTTCCTTTTCTGGGAACAGCAACTTAAATTTCTGTGCTCTGCCTAGCACCCGGTGCTATTGCAACATGAGGAATGAGAAAGGCAGGGGTATTCTAGACCAAGTTGGGATTTAGTCTTTCTTTTCAGTTGCCACAGTGTGTAGGTTGGATTGCAGAGACTAGGTGTTGGAAGAGAGATCCTCTGTATAGCATCAAGCAATGTCAGGTTCAGCTGACTGTGTTCTGGACAGCAGTGACATGTTTCCACAGTCTTCCACATCCCAGGCCCTAGAGTCTGGGATCTCTGCTGTTAACTAATAACTGTGGAAGAATCTCTGCTCTGCTTGTGAAGGTCTTAACATTTTTGAATCTCTGTTTGAAGGTTAGGGAGAAAAAGCTAGTTATTGGCAGGAGCAGTGGTGTTTGGGTTGGGGTTTTTTTGATTGCTTTTTTGTTCCTTCGCCTGTCGGATTTTACCAGGTTCCTTTTTCCTTTCCCCTCCAGGGTAGCAGTGGTTGGCAATGTGGATGCAGGAAAGAGCACGTTACTAGGTGTCTTGACACATGGCGAACTAGACAATGGCCGAGGCTTTGCTCGGCAAAAGCTCTTCCGCCATAAGCATGAGATCGAGTCAGGCCGCACCAGCAGCGTCGGCAACGACATTCTGGGCTTCGACAGTGAGGGCAACGTGGTGAACAAGCCCGACAGCCACGGTGGCAGCTTGGAATGGACAAAGATCTGTGAGAAATCCACCAAGGTCATTACTTTCATTGACCTGGCTGGTCATGAAAAGTACCTGAAAACCACCGTCTTTGGCATGACCGGCCATTTACCCGACTTCTGCATGCTTATGGTAGGTAGCAAGAAAGATGTACGGTACCTGCAGGAGTGGGGCTGTTCACAGCCTTAACAGCCTCAACTTCTTTCCTATTGCAAGGTCCCTGTGGGGTTGTGGAGGGGGGCAGCATCTCCCAGAGGTGGAGAGCAGGGGCCACTGTGGATATCTAGCCAGGTCTCGGAGGCGAGTGCCCCAGGACTGTCTGTCTCAGATGTATGGTTCTTGAAAACAGAAAGATTTCTAAACTCCAGAACACCTTGCTAGAATTGAGGAGCAACGAGTCCTGACGCAGTGTCCAACAGCATTTGGAATGAGCTGGGCCTGCTCAGACAGTCCCAGTGATGCGTGTACAACCTAATCACAGCCTCCTGCATGTCTGACACCAGACCTTCTCTGTAACCCAGCTCACTGCAGGAGGAACGTTTACATCACCCTATCTTGTATCCCTGGTGTAGGTTGGCAGTAACGCTGGGATTGTTGGAATGACCAAGGAGCACTTGGGTCTGGCGCTTGCACTTAACGTTCCCGTCTTTGTTGTGGTGACCAAGATCGACATGTGCCCTGCCAACATCCTGCAAGGTGAGTCCTACAAGCTCTCTCCAGGGCTGTTTCTCACCTCTGTACATGCTGCTGTCCTCTGCTTGGGTTGAGGAGTTACTGCTGGAGGAAAGCTGCTTTATCTGGTTTTGCCTGCGTCTTAAACACCTTCCAGAAATCTGTCCTTTTCCCTTGTCCATTTTGCAGTCAGTTCACATGTAGTCACCATTGCAAAATTACCCGAGTTGGGGGACTGAGCTGGGCAACCCAAAAGCGTTTGCTACAGGGTTTTGCTTAATTGAGCTCTAAGGGGAAAAACGTACAGTTGGGGTTGTGGCTTTGCTTTCTCTCTGGGTACTTAAACCTGGAGGGAAAGTCTGTAACTTCTCTTGAAAGCTGCTTTCCTCCTTGCCTGCAGTTTGAGAGTGATCTTAAGCTGTGATTAAACTTGTTCTCCAGCAGCTGTTAGGTGAAGGGGCAGCGGCTTTTTAGATCCTACTCACCTGGGCGCTTCTCAGATATGCTGGCATGACTGCAGCAACTCCTTCCTCTGTCTGAACAACCAACCAACACTTAATAAATCATGGCTCAAAGCAGCTGCGTATGTGGGCTATGGTAGCAGGACTGGGCTAGACACAAGCAGGGATGGTAGTGAGCAGCAGGGATGGCAGTGAGCAGCAGGGACTATTGACTTTTTTGCTCAGCAGCAGTTAAAGCAGCACCTCTAACCCCAGCAGTGTCCCTTTAACCTATGCTTGACATTTTTTCAGGCTGTGACCAACCTTTAAAATTCTCTTGGTGCGTTTCTCACACCTTCAGGAACATGCTGTGGTTAATTGGAGCAATGTTGGTTTGGTTTTTTTTTAGTAATCAGTCCTAAGAGTCAGGAAAGTGAATGCTCCCAGTACTGTTTGTGGTTAGTCCATTATTGTAAATATCCTAAATATGTTTCAGGTGCTTACCTGAAGCACATGTCATTGGAAGATAATCTAAATGTCTCTATAATACATGTTTGGCAAATAAATGTAAGGCCCGACCATAAGATAATAACTGGGAAGGAAGGAGAATGTTTGGCTCGGGGTGAGGAGAGAAGAGCTGCTCTTGGGAGAAGCCACTCCTGTGTTGTGTTGTGTTTAAATTAAATAGACACAAGATTTGGCTCAAGTGTATCTGTGGAGAGCAGATGGCATGATTAGATGTTTGTGTTTCTGTATCCAAAACATTACTTTCCCATAGGCAATCATTTGTTCACAAAGAACATCTAATTGGATGACAATTGTGGAATATAAATTATTTGCTCTTTTAAGTCCTTACTAGCCTTTTTTTTCCTCATTATTTCCACTTTGCAGGAGGCTGATGCTAGTGCATCAGATAATGCCCCTGCTGGCTGATAGATAGGAGGCTTAGAAAATAAAAAGAGGCAAAAGATCAAAGTTGGGAGCCATGAGATTTGTCCCGAAATACTTATTTCTGGATCTGGTCCACCTACGCTGTCCTAGTCTCTGATGGTGATCTTTACCTCTTTCATGCTTCTCTAAACTTCTAGGGGAGGTTGATTGCCAGGGAAAGTGTGTTGAGGTTTGTTTGGTCAGACTTGATTTCTGATTCATGTATTCTCAAATATTTCAGTTCCTGAGTGCTGCTGGTTTTCAATGAATTCAGTATGAAAAATCCCTTGTAGGAAGAGAAAATATCTTGTAACTGCTTAAAGCTACTTAATAGACAGCTATAAAACACCTACTTCACAGCATTGCACTTGCAGAAGCATACACATATGTCTGTTCATGTATGGTGTCACTTGGCAGCAGGCGAGCTGGCATGAAATGGAAGATGGAACGGCTCCTAAGTCCCACCTGGGCTGCAGCAAACTCAGTCTCACTCACGCACCTTTAGCCATCTTCTCCTGTCTATTTGTGGCGAAAGCACCAGTCTCCCTTCGGGGAGAGACCCCGCAAAAGCGATTTGTAAAGACAGGAGATGCTGCCCTAACAATATTCGTTTCACCCTTTAAGAAACCCTGAAGCTGTTACAGCGACTGCTGAAGTCCCCAGGGTGCAGGAAGATTCCCGTGCTGGTTCAGAGCAAGGATGATGTCATTGTAACAGCCTCCAACTTCAGCTCAGAGAGGTAATGGGAGTAGAAGAGAGTCATTTCTCTTTCGATCCTATTTGGAGACGGGGTGAGAAGATTCAGAAAGAATTGTCTAGATGTGTGAAGGTTGCATCTGCCATGTGGTGTGTTGATTCCATAAGAATGTGTTGATTCTGAGATTGACATGCTTGTGTTCCCCTCTCTGAGACAGAAATGAGAGGCTGCTTCTGGGCAGCCTGCAGAAGGTGGCAGGGTATTCGGCTTCCTTCAGTCCTGGAACCTTACACCTATTCCTGAATGTCATTAGCAGGCAGAGGCAATGTTGCAGGTTTTCAAACACGGGGTGTTGTGCATCTGACTGCTTGCTGGGCTCTCCCTTCCTAGCACCATGTATTGAATTCGGTCCCAAGATTTTGGATGTCTCCGTACACGTGGAATTCCAGGCAGGGAGGTGAACTAACTCCCATTTTCATCCGTTCTCCTTTACAGGATGTGCCCGATTTTCCAGATTTCAAATGTCACCGGGGAGAACCTAGATTTGCTGAAGATGTTTCTTAATCTTTTGTCTCCACGGACCAGTTACAGGGAAGAAGAGCCAGCAGAATTCCAGATAGATGATACTTACTCTGTCCCGGTAAGGGGGCTGGTATTTAGAAGAATTTTCTGCTCCCTCTTTCAGGTTGAAGAAGGCATCTTCCCTAGAGAGGGGAGTTCTAGAGCTCTTCTGCTAGCATGGTGGAGTAACCCCAATTACTGTTTTTTCCTTTTTTTGGCATAGGGTGTAGGAACAGTTGTGTCTGGCACGACACTGAGAGGCCTAATCAAGCTAAATGACACCCTGCTGCTGGGGCCAGATCCCCTGGGCAACTTCCTACCTATTGCTGTCAAGTCCATCCACCGCAAGAGAATGCCTGTCAAAGAAGTGCGGGGAGGGCAGACTGCCTCCTTTGCTTTGAAAAAGGTGAGATGATCTGCTCTGGGCTCCCAGAACAGGAACCACTCTCCTTGTTTTAGAGTGCTCTTGGAGTTCGGCTGCACCCAGACTGCTTCTGCAAACCTCAGCTGCCTCATTTCACAGCGCATTAAAATCCCACAGAACCTCCGTGGGTCTTATGTCCCAGTTGCTCCACCTGACAGCTACCAGGTAAGAGCAGTGGGACCCAAGGTGATGAGGACCGGTGTTGGGAGACGTGTAACAAAGCGGAGGCATTGCAAGAAAAGTCTCCTCTTTTGCTGTAACTGCAGTAGTGGTCTAGGCAGGGTGTTTTATGTTCCTCTCAAGCTGTAGGACCAGCTGCATGATTTGGGGTTTAAAAATCAGCAAAATGTGATGTGATTCCTCTGGCGAAAGGTTTCTGTCAATAGAAGCTGCACTGATTTTAAGGGGATATAGTTTAAGCTATACCAAACTTCGTGTGTTCAGTCTTATCATTTTGTGTTAACAGACATCATGCTTTTGGAGAGATCATCTGCTTGGGTAATGTGCAACCGGGATGTGTGTTTTGCTTTTAAAGGATCAGTGAGTTAAAACTTCTGTGCCAGTGTCCAGCATTCCCAGCACTATAACTAAAGCTTCTTTAGAAACTTCAGCTGAACTTGGTTTTTGCAACCTTTGCATGACATCGTTACATACTGCTAAACAGCTCTGGCTTTGCCTTTTGGTGAGCACAAGCTAATATCTGTGAAATCCCTTAGGATCCTTCTGGATGCAGTCAGCCAGAGAAGCAAATTTCTTCCCTGGAGAATCACGCTAAGGTTTTTTTGTGTCTGTGCTTTTCAGATCAAGCGCTCTTCCATCCGGAAAGGCATGGTAATGGTGTCACCCCGCCTGAATCCACAAGCATCGTGGGAGTTTGAAGCAGAGATTCTGGTGCTCCATCACCCCACCACCATCAGCCCACGATATCAGGCCATGGGTAAGTGTCTCAGTGCTGTCTCATCTTTGTTTCCTAGTGGTAACAGTTTATATCAGCCCTAGCCTGAGATCATTTTTCTCCTGATGGCTCTGTGAGCCTGAATATAAGCCGTAGTTCCTGGTTTGACCTTTCCCAGCAATGCATTAGAGGGAGGTGAGGGAGCTGACAAGAGAAGAGTGGGGAAGGCTGTAGGTAAAAAGGAGATGTGTGACTCCAAGTGTACTTGGAGCCTGCCTGAGCCAGATCTCCACGGTGTGCAAAGATTCTCCAGCTTCAGATGCTGACTGAGAGACTCATTTTAGGTCCTGCCCTCTAGCCTGGCTGCTTAGCGTGTAGGATTCTCTTGAGGATGCTTCAGGAAAGTCTCAGTTCGAAGGCAACCGTTGTAGCTTATATGAGGACTGATTTGCTGAAGCTTCTTTTTGAGGACTGAACAAAGGCAGCCGTGTGACCTGCATAGTCTTTGGCACACAGTAGATTTTTACATTCCAAACCCAGCGCTGTTAGCCGTAGGGTGGCGAGAGCCACCTTAGATGTCTGTCTGAAGCTTGTTCCACTAATGGCACTGGCTGTTGAAAGCCTTTGTGCGTTAACGTTCGCAGTGCATTGTGGCAGCATCCGTCAGACGGCCACGATTCTCAGCATGGACAAGGACTGCCTGCGGACGGGGGACAAAGCCACCGTGCACTTTCGCTTCATCAAAACCCCGGAATATTTGCATATAGACCAGCGGCTGGTCTTCCGCGAAGGCCGCACCAAAGCTGTGGGTACCATCACTAAGGTAAAGGCTGAAGAGTCCGACTTTGGGTTTTTTTGCCCATTAGCTACTTTTGGCACTGAGAAGCCAGCGGGAGAATCCAGATAGCTCTGGGAAACCGAGGGAAGAGGCCGTCCTTTGATCACAAACGTCAGCCCTGACGTGGGTTGCAGATGACCAACGTGCTTTGTCGTGGAGTGGGTCTTAGCTGGTGTGAATGAGGGAATGCGAAGGCGGGGGGTGAGACAGATGCCTCTGGTTCTGACAGCTTGGTCTCTTTCTGACAGCTTGTAGCTGGTCCCTTTGAGTCTTATTGAGGAAGGCTAACCGTCACCTCAGCCAAGTGGCCCTTTCCACCCTGTGAGGGTTCTTGAGGGCAGCTCAGGGGCCTAGATTTCTTTGAGCAGCTGCTGCTGCATTCTTCTCCCAGTGGCTGTTGGTGTCAATGCTCTCAAAGCTGTTTGTTAAAAAGCAGCGTTGAACCTTGACATACTGGCCTAGCTATTTTAATGCTGATTTTGGCCTCTCCCTTTGTAATTTGCAGTTACTCCAGACCACCAATAACTCGCCAATGAACTCCAAGCCACAGCAGATCAAGATGCAGTCAACCAAGAAGGGAGCTGTTACGAAACGAGAGGATGGTGTTCCCCCTGGGATGGCAGCTGGAGGCCCACCAGCTGGGGACGAGGGCACCTCAACAGCCGCAGCGCCACTGACACCTACTGCCCTGCAACCATTGGTAAGCGAGGAAAGCATCGTGTCTGTCCTAGCTGTTGGCAGCCTGGTTTCATCTGCTGGAGGAAGGGCACTCAAGCACAAGCGTTAGCCCCTCATACCCTTGAACTCACCTTGGGACTCAATGTGCAACAGAAAGAAGTAGAAATATAAGTAGTCTCACAGCAGAAATCAGAATTCTCTGATGACTAGATGACTCCTTGTGGCTGACCTTTCAGCAGCTAGCAGCTTAGGGTCCTGGGCCAATTCAGGTTGGACTTCAGGAAGTGTCTAGTCTAACCTCCTGCTCTAAGTAGGATTAGCTATGAGGTCAGACCAGGTTGCTCAGGGTTTTATCCAGTCATGTCTTGAAAACCTCCAAGGAGGAGGACTGCACAACCTCCCTTGGCAACCTATTTCAGTACTTGACTGTGCTCACAGTGAAGAAGCATCTCTATATACCCAGTAGCTGAACTAGTGAAGCATCTAACAACCAGTCACAGAGAATCTGAATGAGAGGTAGAACATCCCTGCACTACAGAAATTACAAACTAAGCAGTAGTATGAGACAGAGGTCGTCTGCCCTGTCAAGGAGGGAGGATGGAGGCGTCCAAGGAGGAGGAAAGGCTTATCTCTTTCAAGAGAAATTTATCCAGGTTGTTTTGTTCGTTAGGACTTCTCGGCTCAGCTTGTCCCAGAAAGGTATCTAGCCTTTCTGATGTGAAAGGAATGGAAACTCAATTCTAACTGCAGGCTTTGGGGGCTATTTATTAGCTTTATTACATGGGTCTTCTCCTTTTAGTGTACTTACCTAGTAAGTGAAAGGTTCAGGAACTGACTCTGTCAAGAGTCCTGGTCAGTGTTCCCCCTCTTAATTTTAGCTATCTTAGTTACCATTAGTCAAATCTTACCCTCTTGAGCCAGGCTGGCTGCTGAAAGAGGGCCCTCTGCCAGGGGTTCTCTCCCTTTGCATGTGCCTGTGGCTTCTTACTGATCCCCCATCTCCTCCTTGTCTTGTTGTAGCGTCACGGTGGTTGTTAGTAGAGCTCCCAGCTTGCTCTTTGTTTTGTCCCTCACCCTGAGAGTCTGCGATGCTTTTGTTCTTGCTTACCTCTGCCTCTCTCTCCTTGCTGCTTCCCCTCAGCCTGCGCTGGATGAAGAGCCCCACATCCGTGAGGGCAATAAGGTATTTGGCTGCTTTAAAAGAGAACGGTGGGTTTGCTGGCCTGAGGCTGGGAACGGAGTCAGGTTAGCAAGAGAGCCCTGGTAGGGGGGCGGGGGGCTCTCCTTCCATTCTGCACAAAGCCAAGGGAGCCTGAGGCCTCGTTTTCCCGGATGCCGAGCCCCGTGGCACCTGCTGCCTCTCATGGGAGTGAAGCATTCAGCAGATTGGGAGATCAGGTCATCCCCAGCTCGAAGGGCTGAACTTCATGGTGTATCTGTCTCTCCTCCTTCCTTCATGGTGTGCCTGTCTGCCTTACGTCCTTCCTGCAGTGGCAGGAAGCTGATCCGTCACCGCTGCCCTCCTGCTGTCTGGATGTGTGTGTGTAATCCACCTGAACTCCTGCCGCGTTGATGCTCTGACTCAGGGGTCGCTGCGCACTGAAGTGCACCTTCTTGTTTTTCAGTCAAAAGTCGGAGGAGGCGGCCGGCGACGTGGGGGTCAGCGCCATAAAGTGAAGTCTCAGGGAGCCTGCGTGACTCCTGCCAGTGGCTGCTGAATTTCTTATTCCTTCTCCCTCTGAGGAATTCCTCCCCTTCCCTTCATTTCTTATCCAAAAGATCCAGAGCAGCTTAAACCAAAACCCATCCCAGCTGATTGGCTGCAGAAGAATCGTCCCTCCTCCCCGAAGGAAGCGATGGAGAGGAGCATAATTTATAAGCTAATGAAGGTGATAAGACACACAGAACTGAGTAACTGACACCTTCCTCCTCCCCCTATCGACACATTTTTGTACATCATGGGCTTAGTTTTTATTCTTATTAGTTTTTATTATATTTTGTGTGCATGAAGATGAGAGGAGAGTCTGGATAGAACTGAGAAGAGCCAGTTAGCTGCCTCCCTCCTCCCTCACCCCAATTCTGTCCACAGGACTTGCTGCTCTCCTCCTGTGCACTGTCTCAGATCCAGGGGTTATCAGACGCCTGAAATTTCAGGCTTGCAAAGGTTAAAACATGTTGCTTAGGGATGGCTCCATAGGGCATTGTTTCCTCACCACTGTGGCCCCATGCCGAATAATGTTTCTGGATTCCCTCCATCTTAAACTATTTCTCAGTGAGTTTAATTTAATGTTGTAGTGACTGAAGTTTGAAGGAGATGGTAAGAAAGTTCATTAGTTGGAGATCTAAGAGGGAAACAAATTGGAAAGCAGTTCTTGATGTTGAGTTGAGGAATCCTACACTAAATACCCTTCTCAAATACATTGATAGCACTTAAGATTGTAATTAGAGACAGAATTAAATGGGCAGTCATTTGCCCATCCTCTTCCCCTTCCCATCATGCTGCTTCTCCTACTGTTTTGTTGGAGCAAACCTACCCTGCCTCTCAAGGCTGCGGCAGCTCGATTGGCAGCATTAAGAATATAGTGCAGGAACACACGGTCGGTCCCTTGAGCCAGGGAAAGCCTTCTCACCTCGACGGACAGAGCTCACAGGTGGCAATACACCTTTGGAACAGAGACACCAGGCAAGCACAACCTCCCCTTGATTTTGTTTACTTCCAAGATTTCCCAGATCTTTTCTGGAACTCACTGGCCAAACTTTGCCGTGGCAGAGGTAAGATTTGTGTTCTCCCCTCTTGGCCGAAGAGGGCATGCTGAATTGGTACCAAACTTAGAGACGTGCTTTCAGGGTTGGAAGTACATGGTAATTTTTCTGACTTTCATTTATGTTGTTTGTTTTTTTTTTTAAATGGCAAAGTATGGCTTCTCCAGGAAGGCCGTGCAAGGATGGTCAACTAACTTCATTGGTACCATGATTTTTTTTAAAGCTGGGTTGTGCAAGTGATCAATTCCCTGCTTATTTTGAGCTCTCTTCTAACCCTGCCTCTTTGCTTGGCTCCCATGAGCACAGGAGTTCCCCTCTGCTGGTTTGTGGTGAGCTGTGGGAGCGTGGTAGCATTTTGAGGGAGGAGGCAGCATCCTCAGCAAATCGTTGCTCTCCCCAGCAGGTGCGGTCAGCCTCGGTTTCTTTGAGGGCTTCCTCCTCCAGTGAAGGACTTTTAGTTTAATTAGAGGGAGACTGTAAAGTTCCTGTCCCTCCTTAGCGGGTTGTTCCTGTTCCTCGCTCTGTGGCACCTCGGCGGGGGTCATGCCAGTTCACCTCGTAATTCGAGGTAGGCTGTTAAGCCAACTGAGCGACAGCAGGCTCGGGGCGGGAGAGCGCATCTCCCGACGCCGGCACCAGCACTCCAAGAGCATTAAGCAGCATGGGAGAGGTGAGGACCATGGTTTGGAGATGAGGGTACTTTGCCTTAGAGACTGCAGTGGCCTGAGCAGGGGTGGAAGGGGGAGGTCAGACAGTCCTTTCCAAGCTATGTGCCTAAATACCAGCACTCTCCCGGCAAGGGAGGAACTATAGGCGGCTACAACACTAATAGCACCCGCGTTGTGAGAGGGTGTGAAGTGTGGCTAGGCAGGGCATGAGGGCCTGGTTGGTTTGTCTTTTGGCCCTGTAACAGCATCAAACTGCATCTGATTTCACTGCCCTCTGCTTCCGAGGGGAGCAGGGAGCTCCAGGCGGTTTTCTCTTTCTCCATTCCTTGTGCTCCAAATGAAGGAGACTGCCAAGACTGGAAGAGGGTTTACTTCAGTTCGTGCAAAGGAGGAGGTGTGATTTCTCTTTTGTGACCAGCATTCAAAGATCACTCAGGCTGGTGTGATCTATAAAATAAATTTTAAAAAAGTTTGTTCCAAGTTAAAGTACATCTTGTTGCTTTTTGTCCCTCTGGAAAACCACTGCTTGCTGCTTTAATGCCGAAAGCCAGACCAAGCGGGTTTGCCTGGCACTACGCTCCTTTGCTGGCTACGAGAGGAGGCTGCGTTGGTAGCGATGGCAGGGGAGGGTCATGCCATGCTGCAGAAGAGCTGCTGCCGCCGAGCCTCTGCACAGCCCCAACAGCTTCTACTCTGCCTAAGATTTAGTGCTTCTTGGTGGCGGAGTGGTGAAATAAGACTGCTTGCATGGTGTGAGCTATGCTGTGTGAGATGTGTGTGTGTGTGTGTGTGTGAAGAGCTGCTACAGCAAAACATTTGGGGCCAGTTTTATCAGAGACGTGTTGCTAGAGGGTGCAGTTTTAGCACAGCACTTCCCCTGCCTGCATAAGCTTGTGCTCCCTGGGCCCTTGCAGCGATTTGCAGCTCACCTGTTTCTGTGAATACAGCGGGACTTCCCAGGGCTTGGAACGGGCCTTCTCCTGCCTCCTCCCGTGATCTCAGAGGTTCACAAAGGCTTTTCCTGCCCTGCACAGCCCCTCCAGAGGTAAGTGTTGGGCTGGGAGCTGGGAGTAGCTGGAACAAAGACCCATGCAGCCCCTCTCCTCCTCCTGGAGGGGGCTGGGCCTGGGCCAGCAGCAAATAATCCTTTCCCTAGGGTGGCCACCTGCAAGGAGCTGCATGGGGGTTCCTCAACACCAGCCTGCCTCCTGCCCATCTTGGTTAAGCAGGCACCGGTGTGACCCTCCTCCAGCTCAAGCCACTCCCATTTCCCTTTTTGCACCCCTTTTTTATGCTCCAGGTTAACTTCCTCATGCTGAGGACAATTCAGTATTTCCTTTTACTTGCTCGTAGCTGCTTGCTAAGTTACAGCCCACGTTAAGGAAAAGACAGCAAACTGCAGCAACCCTTAACTGTGGTTTGTGTCAGACTTTGTCCTTGCCCCTCCACTGTCCCAGCCTCACTTGTCACTCCTCGAGGCCAAGCCAGGCTCTGCTCATGCCCATGATAAGGCAGAGGATGGCCTGATGCCCAGGGATGGCGTGGAGGTCACTGCAGGGATAGACTGAGCAAACAGCCAGGGTCTGTCACAGACTTAGACTACTAGAAGTCACCAAAGTCTTGAGGAATTTGAGTTTTTAAGAGTAAAAGTCTTGTTTTCATCATTGCTTCAAGCAGTTTTTGCATCCCAGAGCCTGCTCAATGACAAGGTAAAACCTGCTGACCCTAGAGTTAGTATGTCAGGCTGGAAAGTAAGGATTTGCCATAAGACTACATAGACAAAGCTATTCTTGTAGCTCTTCTTCTGTCTACTAGCTGTGCATCATTCCCACCAGCAAATTCACCTGCAAAACAGTCAAAGCAGTTTTGATATTTTATTTGTCTTGGTCTTTTTTTTTTTTCTTGCATAGGCATAAATTACAATCTGTTGATTAAAAAATAAAATGAACAAAACAGTGCAGCATTTGCAACAGGCTACAGCATCAAATACAAACTCGGTTCCTGCCTGTAACCATCTGTTTCTGCAGGGCTAACTCATAACACGTGTAGGGCAAACCAAGAAGGAGGGAGAACAGAGGAGGGAAATGGAGTAAATAAGGGAAATCTGCTCTGACAGCTGTTTTGCATTTCTCCTGCCTCACCAGGCTGATCTTCTGCACCAGCTCTAGGATTAAATACCCCTGGGCAGAGATGCAGATGCTGAAGCAGCAATTTTATGTGCCCTCTTTTCCTTTGCAGCTCAGGAAAGTGCTACAGAAATGCTGCAAGCTGCTGCTGGTGAGAGGCAGCTAGCTGGGCACTTGGTGCAGCCCCACACTGATGCAGAATTCAGGGGCTGAAAAAAACCACCCACAGCCTCAGCATACTTTCCTGGGGATCCCCATGCAGTCAGCATGGTAAGGCCTCTAAGACCAGCACTATCCCCTAGAAAACAGCATAAACCCCCAGGGTGACCTCTCACTGGTGTCTCCAGGGGGTTTTGCCCCCGAACAGCAGAGATTTTCAACTCCAAAGGACAGGGCAAGCTCACCCTGTAAAGCCAAACACTCCCTACCCCATAGCCAGTGGCTCCTTGGAAGGAGCAGAGACTGCTCCAACTCCATTCTTGGTGGAAGAGGCCCCCCTTTCCCATCTCTCACCAGCATGCCTGATACAGCCCAAAAATCATTTTTTCTTGGGCAAAGACCTTATCTGCCCTGACAGCCCAACCCAGAGGCCAGGGAGCCAGAAGGAACAGAAAAGGGGGTTTCCAGCCCCATGGTTATGGCATTTGCTCCAGCAGCCAGAGAACCCCTGGGGAAGGGGGAGAGCTTCACCTCTACGCTCTCTTTATCATTCAATTAAATACAGGAGCTGCTGTGCCAAGCCCAGGACACGTCTAGGCATTCATAAAAGCACAACTCTGTGTGCACAGGGCACTCACAGACAGGACTCCAAGGCAAGTGGGCAGCTGTAGACAAGTTTAAAATAACTTTGGCTGTGGATGCCAAGAATTAAGACTATGCTCAATATAGGAGAGAATTTATCATCACTGGAATGGGCTGCAGGTCTGCTTTCTCCCAGCAGCAGGGCCTCCCAGCTCTGCGGGGGGCTCCATGGGGTAATTTTAACTTGTTGGGAGACAGGGCTGCACCCTTTGGGCTCGTTTCCCTTGCTTGGAGATAGGAGACCCCTCCAGAAGGGACATGCCACCATAGCTTTCAGCCCCTCAGGCTGGCCAGTGGAGGGGTGCAGGGCTCAGCACCTCTGCCTGACGCACATCAGGGCGTGCTGAAGGGAGAAACCTCTTCAGCCCCTTCTCCTCCTCTACGCCCCTCGCCTTACAGCGCTTCAAGCGGAGCAGGACTCAACTCACAGTGCTCCCCCAGTGCTCGCAGTGCCGGGGGGGGGTGGGGGCGATGATGCCAGCATCAGTCAGGGCTGAAACACTGAACACACAACCCCTTTAGCGCTACTTTTTTTTTTTTTTTTCAACAAAACACAAGACAAAAGTGGAGGTTGTAAACACCCTCCAAAAACGTAAGCCAAACTAAGTGTGCTGCAGGCAGCCAGGAGGTGGAGTGGCCAGATGGCCCTGGCACTCCTCAGCCTGGGGAAGGTCCCCACGCATCCTTCCTGCAGTCCCCTCCCACAGCTCCCCCCCATCATGTGATGGGTACAGGCAGGATTTACTGCCCAATGCAGGCAGGACTCCCCATCCTGCTCTGGCATGGTCCTCTGCAGCCAGGGCGATACCAGCCAGGAGAAAGTAGGAGGGAAAGGGAGTCCTTCCAAAAGACCCCACCCATCTGCTGTTGGGGACCAGGAGGTGACACCGGCAGCCCGGAGCTCCGCAGGTGGGGGGAGGCCCTGCTGCCCCCCCCCCCGAGGTGAAGAAGCATGCTGGCACCTGCAAGCCCTGGGGAAGGAGGTCTCCCCTCCACCCCACCTCCCACCCAACAGACCGCCGAGGCATGGCGAGTCACGCAGAGCGCCGGGACAGCAGCTCCCGCTCGCTGCGAACCGTCACACCTAGGGACAGATGCAGCCATGGGCGAGTGGCCCTGGCCGCGCGTTGCAGTCTCGGAGGACATCTCCGGAGCAGGGAGGGCAGGAGTGCCCCCGGCACCCCGCCCAGCAGCAGTCCACAGAGGACCTTGTCTCCCACGTCCAGCTACCAAGCCACTGACAACTCAAGGCCCACATTTTAAACAGCTCTGCTCATCTTATTCTAGCTTATCCTACTGCATATGCTATTCTCCTACTAAAGAAAGCTCTAGCCCTCTCCACATCTAAGCCACTTGCCCAAGCGGCATGACGTAACATTCTCCGGTTAAGTAGAAATTGCATGGAAAAAGTATTTTTTTCCTTTGTTACTACAAAAAAAAAATAAAATTCCCCAACTGGAAAACAACCCGCGTCCCCACCCCCCCTTAAAAAAAAAACAACACCACCAAAACAACAAACCACAGAACAAACCCAAAAGGGGAAGCAGGCAACAGGAGTTTTCAATAGCATCATCAAGCTTAACACCAGGGAGCCAGCCAGCCAGGGGGGCCAACAGCAAGGCCAAGACCCAGCACAGCTGCCGGCAGCAGGAGGGCTCGAGCGGACCGACAGCAGCACTGCGGCGGGCTCCACCACCAACATGTGCCAAATATCTCCCCTCCTGCTGCCCCAAACCGTTAGTTTTATGTTAATACTTCATTAATACTGTCTCATTTCCCCTCTGCCAGCTCAGCATCAGAGGTCTGCAGATACCTTTACCGAAACCAACACCAAGGCAGGAGGAATGACCCCCCACAGAGGGGAGAGATTCTGTGGCTGTGACCAGTGGCTCCTACCTACTCCAGCAGCACCGAGCTGGTCACCGCAGTCCCTTACACCGTATCACGCCCAAGCCCGCGTGAAGCGCATTGCAAAATTGCGCACCCCTTTCCCAAGCCCTGGCAACGTTGGGCACGTCATCGGAAAGGAGCAGGGCAACGGGGATGAGGGGCCGTGCAGACCCAATAAAAATTAGCTTAAAAAGTTAAAAATGTCCGATACGCACTGAAAACAAGCCAGGCTATGCTAGGACCCACGCGAGATGGTCTTGCCTCACCATCCCAGTCCTCGGAAGAGTGAAAGCCTCACCCCTTAAACACCAGCTCTTCTCCTCCCCGAGGGGAGCAGCTCCCTGGGGCGGCTGCTGGCACATCCCAGGATCTCTACGTGCGAAGCGGCGAACCAGACGCATCCCCCTCCTGCTGTCATCCCCGCAGCATCCTCGTCCCCCACGGGAGCTGGGGGTCAGTGCGCCGGCTCCCCGTGCACACGGAAGCGGTAGATGCAGGTGTATTCGGGGTGGCCCCAATTGCTCAGCACCCGGAGCTCCACCAGCTGGTACGTGCCCACAGCATCACCCTTGGGGAGAGGGGGGAAGGAAAAACCTGAGCCCTTCAGAGCTCTTGAGGGCTCAGAGAGCCCAAGGCCTCGTCTTCTTCTTGGTGTCAGGTGCTCTGAGGGCAAAGCACTTACCTCCAAGTAAAATGTTTGGATGGGGTCGCCATCATGGTTGTAGGTGAACTGACCAAGGAGAAGACCCTCCTCCTCTCCCTCCTCCTTCAAGCCCTATGGAGGGTCAGGGAGGCAGAAAGAGAGAACAGGGAGTGATCAGAGGAGACTGGAGGCAACGAGAGCATGCAGGGCAGAAGAGGGAGGTGGAGAGGCAAGTGTGCTTGGCCCCCGCTCCTGCTTTTCCAGGCCAAAACAGATGAACGGGGACAGGGGCCAGTGAGAAGGGATGGGGAGGAAAGACCAAGAGTTACACCTACTCAATCCCTTCTCTCCCAGTATCAAACCAAAACCCTTCCTGAAGCCCAGTGCTCCCTCTCTTCCCCCAGTACTGCTTCCTTCCTCCTCGTCAGTTAAGACCAACCCCCCTCAGAGCACCCCATAGCCAGGTATGGGGCTCCCTAGCCCTCCCCTCCTGTGCCCTCCACCACAGCACCCTCCTGCTGCATCCCCCTGCTCCTCCCTGGGGTCCAGGCAAGGGCACTCACATAGACAGCGAAGTCCTTGGGGGCACTGGGGATGGTCCCCTGGGGCGAGAGAGCTTTCGGGATGTGCTCCAGCGTCACGGCCGTGGGGCGGATAATGCCAGAGAGGCGGATGACAGCAAAGCCCTGGGACCCACGAAACGCCCAGCAGTTCCCAGGGTTGACGTCTGGCTACGAGTGTGGAAGCAAGACACCAGCAATGTTATCACCATCAGCACCTTTTTTGCCCCCCCTGACACCAGCCTGCCTGCTCGCTCGGAGCAACAGCGAGAGCCCAGTAAAACCCATTGAGCCCATGTGAGAACCAGCCTGGATGGTCCTCCCCACCCGTGGGGTCTCGCCCCAGGGGTGCCCACCTGCAGGATGACACGTGGGGACTGCGAGTGGTACCACAGGGGGATGCCGAACAAGCTCAGCAGAGCCGTCCGTGTCTCGTAGGTCTCCGAGCAGCGGGTGTTGATGACGCTGGCCCCTGGCATGGAGAGGGGACGGCAGCCGGTAAGCTGCGTGCCAGCACCCTGTGGTTCCCTTCCCAGGATGGCTGGTTCATCCCGGGTGGGTGAGAGCCCCCACCACCACCTACCTGCTGACTCCAGAGCGTAGTCAACCATCCCCACACGGTCCTCGCTGTAGCGCTTCAGGGCCTGGCCCACGATGAGATGCACTTGCTGCAGTGGGAGCAGAGGCCTCACATGAGAGGGGTGAAGGGCCAGGGCAGGCACCCTGCCCCCCAGCCACCTCCACCCTGCGGGGACCAAGAAGGCACAAGGACCTTCCCACAAAACAGCCAGGGGATGAATCACCACAGCAAAAACAAGAGGACATGCATTTGGCTGGGAAGCCTCATTAGAGGTTGCTAAAAATACCCCAGACGAGAGGAGCTGTGCAATGAAGGGGCAGCACCCAGGGACACTGGACTCGCCCGTTCCCATACCAAAAGAGGGGCTGGCCCCAGGGGAGGAGGGGTATCCCTTAGTGGGTACCAGACACAACCTGACAGCCCACCCAGTCCTCCCCAGCTGGTCTCTCCTGCCCCTGTCCCGCAGGATCGATGGGAGCTCCCCCCCATCCAGAAAAGGGGGAACTGGCCAGAGCATCCTTCTGGAGCCAAACCCAGCCCCAGGAGCTAGGACACTGCAGCACCACTGTGTGTCTAAACTTTGTGGCGCGCACGAAGCTTGCGCAGACCACGGGGAGTGCTAATCCCAGCTTGATCCCTCCCTCCGCTGCCTCCGCAGGGAATTGCCAACAACTCTTTCCAAAGCAAGCAGGCTTATTTTTTCCCCTCGGTGTCATTCTGCTGAAATGCTTTGCCCCAGATGACTCGGCAGCGCTGCTGAAGGACAGGAGTAAGCAACATGCTCAACCCATGGAAACCATGCTAGTGCCTGCCCCACCTCCTGGGTGAAAGATGCACGAGCAGAAACTTGGATTTTAAGACAACAAGAGCCTCACAGGCATGCGGATACTGCCACCTGCGACCCCTTCCAGGGCAGGGCACAGGCACAGCCCAGGGGAGGCTGGCAGCAAAGAAGGAACTGGAGGAGTTGCAGGGATGCTCTTGCCAGGTGGGATGTGAGGCCAGGATCGATGTCCCAGCTGTAAGGGCTGTCCCCATGGCTCTGCCATCTGCCAGGCAGATGTGCCAGCCACCCCTGCACACTCGCGGTGGGTCACTCACCACCATGTCCCTGGGGCTCAGGCCAGCACTCACCTCCTCTGTCACTCCTGCAGTCCCCCCTTGTCGCAGGGCCACTCCGATACCAGCCTGAGCATCCCGTGCCGACAGCCTCCGGTCCTCCAAGACTTTGGCGAGGATCTTGCGCTCCAGAGCCTGGAGCTCGGCTTGCAAGTCTTCCCGCTGGAGGATGAGGCCAGCAGCACCATCCCGCCGGGACTGCGACAGGAACTGACTGACCCACGCCGGGAACTGCGCTTCCAGCTGCAACGGTGGGGATAGAGCTCAACCCCGGGGCAGAGACCCTCGCACCTCTCTCTGCCAAACCGGGTGGGGACTGGGGACTCACGTCAGCCCGCACCGCCTTCAGCTGCTCCAGCATCCCCTCCACGTGCTTCCCCATCACCTCCTGGTCAGACTTGAGGCCTGCCAGCTCCCTCCTCAGCGCTGCCACCTCCTGCTCCAGCTTGCTCACCTCCTGCTGGAAGCTCCCTCGCAGGCTATCCTGCGCCGAGCTGTGCCAAGAGAAAGGCAACAAAACCTTGTGCCGACAGTCCCAGTTCCCCTCTGATGAACCTTCTCCCCACCACCTACGCTCAACCCCATCTCCAGCTCCAAACTGTTTTAATTCCTGCAGCAATGACCACTTGTATTGCATCCCACGGGAAAGCGTCCGCGGCTCATCCCTTGGCTGAAAGGCCACGTTCCCCAGGGTGACGCAAAATGAGAGTGACAAAGGTCATTTGCTGCAATCACCCTTTGAACCCTGCTGCCAGCCAGGGTGCTTTCTTGCTGACATACCCACATAGCCATCCCTCCTTTCCCACCAAGATTGTACCTCTTGACCTCTCCTTTGGCCCAAACAAACCAGTCCTGGAAACCCCTCCCTACTAAGCCCCTCGCTGTGGGGATTTCACCC